AAGTAGGGCTTTGAGCGTCATTAAGACAAGAATGCGAACGCGTGGCCCAAATGTTACTAAAACGCGTACAGACAAAAATGCTCTGAGAGTTGGTTTCGGTAACCTTACCACGGATAGTGGAAGTCATGCTGCATAAGACGCGAATAAGGCAGTTGCTGCTGCAGGTCTTCCTGAAAATTCATCGTGTGGACGAGGGGCGTCCAGTCCCTTTACAACCACAGCGTCAAACCGGAAGTACAATGCCAGCCACGCTGCTAAACCGCCTCAGAAGTCGTTAGTGTACTTGCTAGTTTAAACCCCAACGAATAAGTGGGACCGGACAATGTGCATCCCGCGATTGTCAAACCACCCGTGGACATACTCCAGCACCCGGCCTTGGAGTTATTTAACCCGTCACTTCTAGAAGGCGGGTTACGACAAGACCGGAAATAGGTCTCTGTACTTGCGATACATGAGGGAGCTGCCAAATCTGTACCAGTCAACTATAGGCCTGCCAGCCTCACAAGCTTCTTGCTTAAAGGTTTGGAGAAGTTTATCGGAGGCCCCATTTGTGCGTACGTATTTTTATAACCTGACAGGAGTGGAACAACACGGCTTTATCAAGAAGAGTTCATGTCCTGCCAACTTGAGTAAATAAATATTTTATTCTCGACGACGCGAGGCACACCCATGGAGGCGTGATTAATTATGCGCAAATTTAGACATTTTATATCAACTGTGACAGTGCCAGTAGAAAATTGTTCATATGTTCATGATTGGAATTTTACAACGGTGGAAATGAGAAATAATACGTGAGCTGTCGTGAGATCGGGACCCGTTTGTAAGGACATAATCGGTCTGCCATACTTTGCAGTCATACCCATCTAATACCATATTATGAAGCCTGAATGATCAATTCGAAGATAATTGAAGTGCGAGAGCAGAAAAGGTGTGACAATATAGTGAGTTTATGCCTACGTAACGGAAAGATCAGCGGTGATACCGTATAAATTAAAGAGACGACGGTATATGCGTGTAATAGTAGAGAAGCCACGACAGTATATGCAGATGTAGTAGTTAAAGGGTAACTGACGGATCGAGAATGGTGACTCTACTTAACCTGCCAGTGTGAAGTTATGGGCTGTGACTTTATCCGGTGGCGAGGCTTATTCGGAATATTTGGAGGCGCTTAAAGCGCAGTAGACTGAAGAGGCTAGGAGCAATAGAAGTAGACCTAACCGGATTGTAGGAAATGTATCAGAAATACTGTTTAAAAGGGCTGATGGCGGCGCCTTGCATTAAGGTGTACAGTCCCACGTAAATAGGATAGGAAGAAGAGAGGGGCGGACCGAAGCAGCTAGCTTGGCGGCGTACTAGGCGTTAAGGATTGAGAAGAGCAAGTCGTGGTTGCGGTGGAAATAAAAGCAGGTTAGTGAATGAGGTTTATCAGGCCATCTTAATTTAGCCGGCTTAACGCATGCGTGCGACGAGGAAAGGTGGCTCTAAAGGAGTAGCATGGAAGCACGGCAGAGACAGGGATACGAATGAGTGTTGAGGTTTAACTATCTTTGGCATAAGAGCGGTGTACCTGGAGCTTGTAGATGAATCTAGGCGCATGAGCAAGTTTGATTATTTGCCTCGGAGGTGGTTAGAGCAAGCCGTCCGAAAGCAGCAGGCGGTTAACTATGGGGTCGGTGAGGCGGAAGCCTTGCGGCGAACAGGTGAGCCGCAGTCTCGTTTCAGTAAGTTTGTTAAAGTTAGCAAACAGCAGGCTTGGGATGATAAAGAATAAAAGGTTTAGTTGGTATTAAGGGCCTTGACGTAGAGTATACCTCGCTGGAGAATAAGTAACCATATCGCTGGAATCAGAGGTAGTCTGCGCGAAAGACGGTTACAAAATAGTGACCGCGACACGTTTCCCTATAAGTAGGTAGTCCTAAATAGCTCTGGTTGGAAGAAGACAGCAAATGGCAGACGCGGGTAGGGTGACGGCGAAAATGCCATGGAGAAGTGCGGGGCGAAAGAGCAGATAAATGGAACGGAAGCCTTGTGGCGAACGGTGACTCAGGAGTCTACTTTAAGTGATACTGGACAGGTCCAAGCGAACTGATGCTTGGCGTTTGGGGACAACAATTGTGGTTGTAAGTAGATCACAGGATAAGATGAAACTGACGGAGACAAAGTAAGAAAATGCACAATTCAGTGAGTTGAGTGCCCGCTGGGCGAATACGCCGGAAGCGACGAAAGCGGCGCGTTGTCGTATTGGGGCATCGTCTGTCAGTGAACGTTTTCCCGATAGGCGGCAAGCGTCATACTTAATCACAAAGGTCTCCATGCCTAATGACAGTAGTGACTGCCAACCGTAGCGTTTCGCTCGGGTTTTGGTGGAGACAATACCCGGGTGTCCTCATGTGTGCAAGCAAATCTTTTAGCTATCAACTAACCAAGTGTTATAAAATCCAACCCCCGCATCCGGCAACCACCTAGCACTGACAGTTCATCTAAGCTGGAGTAATATGGAATGCGCTCACTAAGGACATTTTGTTCTTAGACCAATTTTAAACTTGAGGACCCAGATGCGCAGTTGGGTTGCGAAAGGCAACCTCTAGTGAGAGCCGGGTTCACTAGGACCTAAACCTCGGCCATCCCGATTGCGAGGACCGTGACCGCAATGGAAATATTTGGATATTGCTCCTACAAAAAATAGTACACCATCACCGCGGGATCGGCTTGGCTTGGACGCATCAGGTGGCGAATTCCGATTTAGGGTGGAACACAAAGCCTTGCACCACCACGTTACTGCAATCCGCGAGCAATGCTTGGCACAGCGCAAAAGCATGAAAGTTGCACTTGGGAAATCGCTTCGCGGTTCGGATGCGACACGCATTTTCTATTGATACCCCGATTTATTTGACGTAAACCTCGGTCATTCTGATCGCGAAGACCGTATCCGCAAAGGAAATATTTGGGCTTTGCTCCTCCAAAGGCTGGCACAACGCGACGGCAGTTTCTTCCTTGTTTGGACCTATCAGGTTACAACCGCCTGATCGGGGTTGTAACATAGAGCCTTGTAAATTAGCAAATAAAAGGACAATTTATTCGGGCTAAAGTAGCATGCCTTATCAGGCCTGTTCAAGGTATTGCAGATAATATTTCGCTGATGGCACATTGTGTTGCTTACATGAATTGGGAAATTACATGTGAGTAAAACATCAACGATGGTGGTGATTGTTTGCCACCATGTTGTTATATCATAGGGGGAAATTTGTAGTCCGTGACTTTATTGTTTTCCGTACCTTTATAAAATATAATATGTTGCTCAGTAGCATGCTGAATTTGTGTATCGGTATATATGTACGTGTATGTGTTAGTGGGTCTTGTGAACATGTTAATTGTGACTGAATTCGTGACTTTGTTTGCTGTGTCCGTCATCGCATGTAAGTGCAAGATGATCGGATTCGCTCACTTCGAAGATCTACGCTCACGAGCGTTGCTTGATGCAAGCCTGCCAGGCAGTTTCTACAGAGTATATGGCTATGTCGATAAGTTTACAGTGCCGGAATATCTGTGGCTAGTATGTTGTTGCCCTACGATACCGCTGGAGACATCTACCTTATCGTAGGCTTGTCTTGAATGGTTGTATGTGTTTGAACAGGGTATCCTTCTATGCAGTGCATAATTATGTATGTGGGAGCACGCCTTAGCTAGACGAAAACTCGATCTGTCAATCTGCGCTGTACAGGTTATACAGCCTCTTGCAGAAATGTAACAATCATGTGTCTCGACATGCGAATGCGGAGCATTACACGCCTGAAGGCTAGACGTCCCAGCTAGGCATTTACACCCGTAGTGCGTGCTCGTTACAGTTTAGCTCATACACTAGACTGCCGGCAGTATACATAATTTATCAGGTAGAATAGAGAGTACTCGTAAGTTGAGCTGTGTGGATCAGCCTACCAGCTAATTCTCAGCAGACAAGTGCTGCATAAGACAATAACGTATACTACCGTGCAGGCGCACAGGGCCTGATCGAGCTATAATCTCATCTTAGCTCCGGTTAGTCCGCCCTGTGTGTGTGTATGTGCTATGCGTATACTGTACTCTCTTTTCCTCCATCCTCCGTGTTGTTGTTGAGAGAGATTACACACAGACTGTGAGTTAAGTCGAGTGCCTGGCGGCCAGCTCGTGAGTGTAGTAGTCTGACGAGAGGTACGGTCACCGCCGCCTGTACTCGAGAGTATTCGACACGCGACCCCCTCATTCTATCCCTCTAGATACTCGAGGGCGCCCAGTCCAAGAGGAGAACTGCGGATCTATAAGAGGGTGCCTCGATCAGCAATATACGAGCGCGTTGTGTCTGTCAATAACTGCAAAGAAGTTGTCCTCTGTCCGGAATGGTCAGTGTAGGAAAGTATGAGCCAACGACAATCCAGCTGGAACGAGACCGTCACGCGTGTATAGATAAGAGGACTGCCGTATCGAGCTGCTGATGATGTGTGTCGAAACCTAGATGCTTCGTAAATAGAGGAACAGGAGAAGGCTGAGATGTTTAGTGCCTCTAACCGCTAACAAACATGGAAGGAGCAGCTCTTAAGGGGGAGTGAGTGTGGGCTACGCATGACCGAAAGCATCGCAAGTAATCACCTCTGTCAGTTAAGCAACTAGATCCTAATAAATGCCGGACAGGGTATGGCAATAACACATCGCGCCGCAGTAGTTCCGCTAAGGCTATACGTAGCTGAATTCTGTAACTTGAAGCTTACACTAGCTATGCGCTCTAGAGTGTATCTACGCGTGTAACTTTTAGTAGAAGTCTACGCGTACCGTGGTTCCAATGTCACCTGGTTCTATGACGTGAAATGCATGTGCAATGGAGGACTGTACGTCTCATCGCTCTCATCTCCTTTATCTTGATTCTAAATGCCTCACTACATCCTCCTATATTCTCTATGTCCCCCCTTTCCTAACACCCTACTTTTTTAAAAGCCCCCCGCCTACCCCTGACTCTCTCGCGCTATCAGTCAACCCCCCCGCCCCCCGCCCCCTCTCTCGCCAGGCTTGAGGCTTTTGGGTCCCTGCACCCGGCCCCCCCCCCCCCCCCCCTCTCCGCCAGCGTGGCTAGTCAAGTCGAACGTTGCCGGTTCTTGCTTTCCACGAGTATAAGTCGAAGTGCTCATGGACGATCGGTCGCAATCGTTACATTTGTCATGTGGCTAGACAATCGACACAGGTAGAGAAGTGGTAACCTCGCACCATAAATCGTAAGTGTGGGCAGAAAGATGTAAACCTGCACGACAGGGCAGAGAGGGCCTGTGCATCCAGCGCAGACCTTAGAAATGTGACCGGGACTAATTGAAGAGATAGGCTGTGACAGACAGTGAGTAGACATCATCGTGCATACCAAGCGACACGGAGAGAAGTCGGTTTAATATAGATAGCGCTAGATCAGCGCGTGGGCTTCGTGAGCCTGAGGCGCCGTCTGTCAAGTGGATTCATAGCCAGAGGCAGCAACTAGGTGCTAATTCTGGTGGACTCATTGTAAATCATCGTATAGCAGATCGGTCTGGCCATCGTAAGATACGCACGCGTTGTCGTAGCTGGTTGACCTCGTAGTCTATCGCTGACTTGCAGAGCAGTGTAGTTCACAGACCGACTGTCTACGAAAAAGCGCATTCAAATGTATGATGGTAGCAGACCGCGGATGAATGGCGTCTTGCGTGCATGGATTGAAGAGATGATCTGTCACTAAGCTCGCAGATCAGGTCTATCATACATTATTTGAGTGTTGAGTACAATACACGAAGTTCCTCGAGGAGTGCCAGTACAGCAGACTGCACAGCGACAGTACGGTGTCCTGATTTGGAGAAGCGTCCGCTAGAGATCGTCTCGTCGTCCGATAGATCTGCGGGTGATCATTATTTAGATTGGGCGATTGCGCACCGAAGGACATCTTGCTAGATTCTCCATAAATGTCGGCTATCCACATAGGCCAGCCTCGATCGGTAGACTCGGCAGGTCTGTCTTCCGCGTTGCTAGTGGACAATGTCATCCATGCGTGGCTCAACCCATTTCCCTTACCCCCACCCCCCCCGGTGGTTAAGCGGCGTCGTTAGCAGAGTACATACAGAGAGTTGTAGATCTTCAGAGCTACACTAGAGTTCAACTGGTCTGACGCCATGCTAGGTCTAGACCTGAGGATCCTGGTGATCTGCGGCAACCGCGTGGTCATACAGAAAAGGATGTAGTGTCTAGAGTACCTGGTGTATTGATCGGGAACACCCGCTGTGTGGGTGGGGCCAGTGGCATTGCGAATCTAGCTATTCGATTGGATCGACGGTTGGTTACGGCATATAACATGGCCACGGACGCGCTGTAGATGAGAGCGCGGATACCGTGTGTCGAGCGCACCTATGGCTGACGCCAGCAATCTGCTAAGTATTTGCTGTTGTGTGTATATATTTTATGTTATATGTCCAACCCCCATATTTCTCCCCCTTCTCTCCCCCCCCACCCCACCACCTCCCCCCCCCCCCCACCCCTCCCTCTCCCCCCCCCCCCCCCCTCCCCTACCCCCCTACTCTCCCCTCCCTTTCCCCCCCCCCCCCCCCCCCCGTCTTATATCAACATGTTGTCCTTTTAAAGATATATTTAGCATGTTTTGTTGCTGTAATTGCTCGTGTGTGTATATCCCCCCCCACCCCCCCCCCCGCCCCCCCCCCCCCGCAGCCCCCCCACCATCCCTTGATGTCTTCGGCTCGTGAGTCATGCGTCCGTAGAGCTCTTTTGGCGCAACTACTCGACCGTCTGGTTTCGCCCACTGTTTTAGCCGTATCGCGCTATGTCGTACAGTGGCAGATAGCGCTTGATGATAGTGGCGTCGCGCTCATCGCAGCGCCCTCTCGCGCTCGGTGCGCATGCGCTGAGGAGCGTCGCAAGGCGCGATCGACCGCTCATAGATGCGCTGAGTCAACCCTGGGACCATGCGTAGACGAAGACAGAGGACTATGTCAGTAAGCTTACTTAGCCAGATGCACAATTGCTACACTGTGATGGACGGCTGACTTGGCGCACGCGCAGCTTGAAGGTGAACTAACGTAGTGAGTCGGGCATTGGTACTACGTTGGTTGAGCTGATTAATGTACGCTCGAGGTCGATTCCGGTAGGTGCGAAAGTCCAATTATCTGCGAGAGTGCCGCTAAGGAGACCGGCGACATGGCAGTAGACGTGATTGTAGTGTGTGAAGCGGCTCTGCACGCCAGTGAACACCTTGCGTTCGTACACACCGTGTCGTGATTTCGACTAGATCTGGATGTGGCTCGAGTACGCAAGGAGGTAAGGGCAAGTAGTCCCTGAGTTTGAATCTAGTGGATACAGTCCTAGAACTGTCCTCGCAGTATGTAGTCTCATGTATATGATGACCAGCCTAGAGCTAGCCATACGGACGCTGCTTGGCAGTTCGAGAATTGTCTAGACGGCTGCGGCCAGCTAGCGCGATTCGACCCTATTGATGAATGAGACGCGCTCGGCAAACGTTGTATTTAATGGTGCGACCAGCTTCTAGCCTCTGCATGGTACGTTCAGATTGGCGACAGCACTAGGTCAAACCTTTATGGCGGGACGTTTGGCATCAGCGGGGAGAACGCTGACTTCTGCGACAGAGTATCTGGACGCCACGATAGCGAAGACTACCCGGTTGCTGACTGAACCCTTTGACGTGACCCTGATCGAACGTTCGAATTACGCAAAGGAGAACAGTGGCGATGCGGCGCATCTACGAACACTCGTAGACTATTCGGCCGTGATGCGCGTCTCGCCCATTACACGTGGAACTGAGCCAGTCTCAGCCCGTGATTTCTCACCTGGTGTGTCTGGACGTCAGTCATTGATCGGCAGAGAACAAGGCGGCTGTGGAGTACAGGTGAAGTTTGTCGACGTTGTGGCCTGATAGTTTAGAACAGTGCAGGCTTCTGAACCCCCCCCCCCCCCCCCCTCCCGCTCCCCCCCCTCTGTGTCCCCCCCCCCCCCCCCCCCGTCCGCGCTAACCCACCCAATCGCCCGCAGAAAAAGAAATTCGAAGTGGTAACACTGTAGCTCGGTAGTGATTAGCGCCAGTGTCAATCCTCATCTCGAGAGCTGATCGCGGGGAATCACGGATGTGAACGGTTTGACAAGGCGTCGTTGAGACGCGCTGTACTCCGCTGTGCTGTACTCGTAGCAGCGTCATACTCTGCAAGCTCTGGGATATGATCGTTGGTGGGTGCTACTCCCCCGCGCACTCCCCCCACCCCCAATAGCTGCAGGCACACATACTGCCGACAGCACTCAATGCCTGTCTTGCCAAGTAATTGTTCAGGTAGGTCGAGTGTATGCCATGTACTGGATGTTGAATCTGTTGGGGCGTGACGTTCGAGATCGTCCAGAAGCGCTACTGAGTCATGGTACCTCCTCGGAATGTCTGTACGCGGCTGTACGTGAACATGTGTTCTCTACTGAGATCATCCATAATCCTGTACGGTTCGGACTTGTCATCTGGGCCAGTGAGTAATGGCATAAAGGTATGCGCTCGATCCGCCTATACAACGATGCGCATGAGGACGCTAGTAGTAGCAGTAGGCATGCTTCGCTAGTCGGACAGATCTATTAAGGTATATGCCCCCCTTCCCCCCCCCCCCCCTCCCCCCCCCCCCCCCCCCCCCCCCCCCCCCCCCCCCACCCCCCCCTTTTTAACCCCACATTATCCCGCCCACACGAAACCCCCCAGAGAATGACTCTATCTAGCGTCGAGTTTGAAGTTAGCGTGTTTTCTGCTAGGCGTACTCCGTTGTGTCTAATTTCGAATCGCCACGCTCTGAGATCCCCCCCCGGCTTCCCGCTCATTGTCAATGAGTCCGGTGTTGAATCGTTGAGGATGCGTTTCACGTCTCAAGCTCGATCACTGTCGATCGCGACTAGGCCTAGCTCTTCTCCCATGCTCACTGCCACTGCTGTTGCAGCTAGGGCATGCCTAAGAGTAACTTGCGTGTAAGGTGAAGGAAACGTCAGCGAAGATCCTAAATGATTCCCGCATCTAATGTTGTCAGCGCGAATATGTTAGACATTGTTAGCGCAGGAAGAGATATAAGAAAAGGAAAGCGCGCGAGAGCTGCGCGTATGCCTGGTGAGTAGCGGCAGAGTGAGGACTGGTGCTAGGCTGTAGCACGGTATTCCAAACCGCCGATAGTTTTCTCGGGAAGGGCAAGGTGCGGGGCTTAACATGACGTGACGAATCCGCAAGGTGGAACTTGGACGTAATGTTTCGAACCTACCATATCACCACAGATCGATAAGCAAATCATTGATCGGACGCACTAGGCTGCACGCAAACAAGGGGATGGACTTTAGGATTGCTGTGTGCGCGACCTAAGGTAGCTGCAGTCAGAAGTCAGCAGGAAACATGTCAGTGCCCCGGAGGTCTGTATACGCCTGGGAACGCCTACGCGATTGCAAGTTTCCGGATGGACGACAAGCCGAACAATTGCGGATTGCATCATGGACGATTAAGCCGGATCAATGGCATGGTGCAGATAGTTTAAGAGTTAGAGTAATGAGTATCAGAGCGGTATATGCGATGGATCAAGCGTAGGCGCGCTAGATATACACGCTGACTAGGTAAGAAAGGATGGTGTCAGCGTCACCAGAGTGGAAGCTATGCTCGCGTCACTCTATATGTAATGACTAAAGAGAGTAGGTCAGGGTGAGAGGCGACGGGTCATCACTAGGTGTGAAAGCTGAGAAGCCTAGAGAGTCTAGTCTTTGAACCATGATACCGCGAATTATAGATTTGTGTCTCTCACTCGACCGTGTCTGTTCATAGCAGGTGGCAGAGTACACTCAACCCGGTATTTACCGTAGGACAGAAAGGTACTCGGTAAGTGGGTGCGGACTCAGGCGGAAGTCGTCTGCCGCTGTAGTGCTAAGGTTGTAGCTATCATACTGGAATTGCGTGTTGTACGTTTCGCGTTATGCCAGATTCACAACAACCTCAGACGCTGCTTGGTCGGTAATGTACTTGCTCGAACGTACTGATCAGTGAGGAATTCTGATTGGGAGTAATATAACTACAGCTTCTGCTTTGGTAACCTAATCTGTGCGCGTGCATAGACTCGAGCTAATTGTTCTAGCTCGCGCGTCTCTGCAATGTTCTGCGTGTGATCGTCAGCGTCAGTGTTATGATCATCGGTCATGCTTGCTCGATCACCACGCTCGTTCTACCACGCGCCAGCCCCCCGCGCAGTGAGATAACACGTGCTTCGATCAGGTCTCCGCAGTCTAGCTCCGAAGCTATGAATCAGATGAGTGCTGGTGTAGACACTATCATATTTGCTGTGGTCCAATTAAGCATCGCTGGGTGTTTGTGCCATGCCTTTGGTCGGAGTGGCTAGCGAGAGAGGACTAGGAATTTTTATGTGGTGATTCTAACCCAGTACGACGGAACTCCTTCTTGTGAATGCCTGTCTTAGTCTTCTCGCTCGTGTCTAAGCATTATTTATGCGCATCGGAATGTTGATTAGCTGACTGGTGTGGTCCGAGTCACTACGTGACGCTGGCTAGTTGGTACGACCCCGAAGTTTCCTTATCTCTTATGTACTCGAGTTTGTTTTGTTAAGCGTCTAGTTGTGAAGCGCACAGACACGTTCCCATATGGATTGTTATTTTTTGTCACGCTATCTCTTAGGCTATGTGTAGTCTAGCATAAGCTGCAGGGATGAGCACTCTGTGGTTAGACCCTGTAGATAGTGCCTGAAGGCGCAGTTGATTGACGCTGGGCGTTTGGAATGCAGAATCGCTAGGAGAGGGCAAGGCATTGTGTGCTACTCCTCGCTATGTGTCGTGGATGGCATCGTCATACACTCTAGCAATATCTAAAACCGTCGGCCCCCTGGCAGTAGATTGTCCGTGTTACTGCAGTTGGATTTATACTTAGCTACACTAGAGATGACTTGTCGCTGCCTGAGTGATGTACTAGATAGATATGCGCTACTCACGGGTAGTGTTGCTGTCTGCTGAGGCTGGCGCCGTCGACTCCGCCTACGCCTCACGTATGACCTCCAATCACTAGCGACAGTGAAGGCCCGCGATACATTCATGCATGAGATTTGTATCCGCTACTGGTAGTGCATCCTTAAAGCGCGCAATGAGATATAACATCGTGTCGTAGAGAATACGCATCTTGACAACCGAGAATTCTGTGTGCTGGAGCACCGATTGCTGCACTTGGCGCGTTTAGCTAAGGCAATCGTGCGCCAGTAGTCTCGTATAGCGGTGGTGTGCTAGACGTTGTGACGCGACGCTCCCCTATGCACAGCACATCATTGCGCAGACACACGACACGTGATGTGGCGAACTCTTAGATAATAGGTAGCTACTATAAGTTGGATGACGTCAGGCCTGTGCAAAGTGAAGGGGACAACTTTGAGTATATATATTGCTCGTATACCTACTCATATATACCGTCCTACGCACCTCAGGGTTGATGCATCCTATCGAATTTTGTCCTGTACCAAGACTGTAGATGGTGGAGCGCAACTGGATCGACTTGACTATTACTAATGCTTAGCGACTGAGATCTGAGCACGACTGAAGTAGCTCGATCTCGCATGGCTGTTGTGACAAGCTTTTTCTGTGTGTGCATACCATTACTCCATTTCACCCTCTCGACTGTGGCCAGAAAGCCTACTTCACCGCACCAGCTTGCTGAAGCAGTCGACACATGCCTATGTCATGAAAATGGATAGGCCATGCAGAGCCAGTCTATTTGCTCAGCAGCTAGGAACGTCGCCCTCCAGATATTCCTTCTATGGTATTCATGCTCAACGTGCGTATAGGTCCGCAAATGTGAAGTAAAGTGGTCACTGGTCTGACGTGAGTTGGCGCCGACATTAGATGAAGACTGCGCGCATCTTCATTGTGCGCGACAATGAAGCCATACTGTGAAGCAATGCACGTGATCTCGCGTAGGCTATCTTCGCTCAACCGTGGACGCTAACATGTATGGTCACTGCCTGTTACTTTTCACAAACCGAGAACTTATTGTGGGAATTGCCCCCCCCCCCCCCCCCCCCCCCCCCCCTCCCCCCCCCCCCGCCCCCACCCGAAACTCGTAGGGCCGTGGCCGTCAGCTTCACAGCACGCTGCCTGTAAAGCCTAAATTCGCTGTGACAGAACCTGATAGTGGCGTGTTTTATGTACGTCGGACTGGCCAAGCCAGTTTGCACAGAAGCGCTAAGAATACCCTCGACTGCACGTCCTGGCGCAACACCCTGAGTCGGATACACTCTGCCATCGTGTTTGAAAATGTCACCGGTGTACACGTTTTCGTCGACACGGAGCGCCGAATTTAGCTGTCATACCGCGTAAGGTACACAAGAAGAGACGCGCGCAACTTGTTCATGGTCGGTCATTTACAAATGAGCGAAGGAGCATGTGTGTCCATTACATTGTCTGCTCATGTTTGTGTGTTGCCCCCAATGTGTATGTTAAACCACACACATACCAGACGCTACGGTTGTACTCGCAATAGAACTCCCAGGTTATTCCTGCTCGAGTCGACGTGAAGTGCGCACTCACGACGTTCGAACTTAGCACATTAGCAGCTTTTCTTAGAATCCTAGCTGCCAACATGTCGCTCGTTAAGGCGCAGTTGATTAGCGATTGGGCATTCTCGTGATGTTAGCTTAGACGTGAAGAGATTTGGAAGAGCTAAAATTATCCATCGTTGTGAGTCGTCAGGGTAACTGTCACGACCGGAAACTCTCTGATTATGATTAGCTAGTCACCTGCAGATTCTCTGTAGTGTGTCTAATGGGCAAATGTGCTCGCGCGCTAGCGTCACTCCGTCACCTGCGAGACCTGTGCGTTTGAGCGTCGAGAGCGCGGTTCTGCGAGCTCATGATAAGTTTAGTGTGTTGCTGACATTGCTGAGACGCCAGCTTATCGCGGCTCCAGATGTATGCCATTACCAGTTACTTCGTATGCGTTACAGTGATCGTCTCGATTCGCTAGCCCAGAAATCGCGAGGCGACAATCGCTTCGTCACGCACGCAGCATCGGATGACACTACCAAGTGCAAGACTCTGCGTGCACCAAGCTGGTTGCCATCTGACGTCTTAGCTTCTCGACGTAAACGCGTCTCCAGATGGCCCTGGAATCTAGCAGAGTCTTGCACTCAGCATGACTGAAGACTCAAAATCTAGGCATACACTTCGTCATCACAATGGCTTATGCTAGCCCCAATAGCAGTAGAATGGGCATACTCACGCTCACATTCTTAAGACAGACATTCAGATTATTTAGAAACCAGCAACTCCAAGGAATATTGGCGACCAGATGCGTCGGCGATCATATTCGCTGCTGCTAAATACATAGTGCACATCTGTTCCAGACGCAAAGATTTACCCAATTTCCCCACGTGCTCATAGACTTTTTCCATGAGTCTTATTACGGGAGGAAAACGCCATTTCTCTAAATAATTTTCGATCTCGTCACCGCGACGTCGCTTTTTGATGTAATCCAGATGTCCGATGGTCGACCCAGAATGACCGATACCTAAGTACACGCACGCAATCACGGACGCCATTCGGTCATTTACGTGAGTTTCCTTCCGCTTATTGCCGTTTTGAGGTGGCGTCCAGAAACGCACTCGTTTCCCAGAGGCTCTTATGCAGCGACGTTTGATGGATCGACAAGTCCTCGCGTGGTCTTGGATTTCGTCTGTCGCCGTTATGGACGACGATTGTTGGTAGGCACAAGCACGTGCGGACTCGCCCGAAGCGAGCGAACATCCTTGGTACTTCGAGTTTACAACCAGGTTTTTGTTCTCCAACCGTCATAAGCTCAAGTGTCGGTGTCACAATTCAAACCTTGCTGTAAGGTGTCGCATTTGTTTTGGCTGATTGCTCTGAGCAAGTCGGCTGTCTTTCTTCGTGGACATCACATCGACGCCTTCGCAGACTAAGGTATACGTCTTCCCACTGTCCGGACAACGGTACGACATGTCCATGCACCGTACTCACCCTTGTGCCTACAGTTCCAATTAAAGAGCCTCCGACGTTTCCTCGGTATTCATTAACTAACTACTGCCGTTTATATCCTAACTGTTCCTGATGTCCTAACAACCGCTTCACCGATTTGCTGCACAAGCGTAACCCGAGAAAGCTAATTCTGTCACCCGACGCGTCTTAGGTTCTTTGCAGTATTTGTTGTAGAAGAAGAAGCAATAACAAAACGCTAGCAACGTCGACTTCGCTGAGTCATTGAATGAACAGCAGACGCCGAGCACGCACCAGGTTAGATTAGGTACTTTTTAAACACCGGAGCGTTCGTCGCAATCGCAGCCGTTCCGGGGTATCGCGTTTTTACTCAACAGGTGCATAGACGCTCAAGAGGAGTTGCAAGCCTCTGTCCTTCTGGGTCTACGGTAAGCTCCAGCGGCTGTACAAACATGGTAAAACTTGCACGTTGCGGCTGGCGTGTTAACTTTTGCTGTTTACCTGCGCAAATGATAGCACTTCGCGCCAATCCCTCGAAGGACGCCATCTTCGTCGTTGTCTAACTGAGCCTATTAGAGCCCACTTGTCTACGCATTTTAGACGTGCGCCAGGCATGAATCCGGCGTGTTTCTCCTCGGAGAAAAGGCATCTTTGATATTAGCTAGTCTCGCCCGAAGCGGTTTACCTCTATGGCCATCCTTGACTATATCATCGAGAGTTTGTTAGGGAGGGGCTGCTCGTGAGTATAGGGCAACTATTGTCGCTGACTGCCGTTATGCTCGCGACGACTCATTCACTCAAACAATGGTCGGCAGATGCTCTGTCTCCATTTCGCACTTAGAGGATCATTGGCTGCTTGCAGACTCACAGAAGCACTGACTCTGGAGTTTGGCGATATCGTGGGGTTTCGCAGATAAGCGTAAGCACTTCGTGGAGATATGTGTCGGACTAGATTACTCCTTGCTATCAGCTGTGGATTCGAAAATACATTGTGAACATTTCACCGGTAAAGCACGTTCCTTAAGTTACCCATGGTCGTACCTGGCGGAAATATTTTTCGATTCATCTTCTAGGCCTCTCCCATCCGCTGATCCGTTCTACCGTTATGCTCATCCGGATCGCGTTATATTGGCCACACAATTGGAGATGACCGGTCGATCCAGCTGCTGATGGGCAATAAGAAAATCCAGTGATTCTGATATGGCAAAAAGAGTATATAGTTTCTATCCTGTCATGACCGATTACAAAACTCGAGGAAAGCTTTTCTCACTTCCTAGGACGTCGCGTTTGTTGTTTAATATAGCACGGTTCACCTGGGGTTTTTTTGTCGGTCCTGGGCCATCCTTCAAACGGTTTACGCAGCTATGGTAGCTTGTGTTTGATCGTTTTCACAGAAGAGGGGCCGCAATGGCAAGTCACATTGCGTGTGTGATACCTCTGCCGACTGGTCGGCTTCACACTTGGTGCTGTGTGTTGAATCGTGGGGCATCTGTCTTTGGGTGAGCCTGTACGAGACCATTCCACTCGATAGTAGTGAGACCACAGTTCACGTTCACACTTGTTTCGTGAGTAAAACCGCACTCATGGGATGCAAGGCCAGCTTACGCTCGACTACAGCTTATGTCACCCTGCATCTAGGATGGTGTTGTGGAGACGGTTTTCTCGAGTAGACAGTTGAAGGCAGCTGTTAGCTAGGGCTGCCAGCGGGTCTTAACATCTCTTGTGGATACGAGAGCCTTTACCTTGATCATACTGCCCTCAGTTTACGCATAACACGCAAGCTAAGGAAGACATCGGGTTGACACTCTTCTCTGCCGAGCGTGTACTTCGGTGGGTGTGGATCATCGCTTCGAACTTCCGGTGAGATGTTTACGTCGTTTCCTGAAGTGCAGACGGTGAAGTCTGAGTCCGCCAGCGTCTTTGGGGCGCCTCGGGTCGAGCCCGTGGCCCGGGGCAAATCAGGTACACACGGATCAGGTCGTGTCATTTCGGACCGTCGGGAGGACAGGAGGGTAACTATACCCGCGGGTGGTCCGGGGATTCGCATACACACCATAAGAGACACACGGGCGGCGACGGCGGTCGGGGGCGCGACGGCGGCGTCGCAGGCGGCGGCCCACACACACGACTGGGAGACACCCGCCCTCGCAGGGGTGGGACGCAGGCGGGTGGCACGGAGGTTGTAGGGTCGGTTGAAACACACGCTGTACAATGTGTAACAGATATTACTCTGAAAATGTTTTTGATTACCCAGCAGATGGTATGGCTTAATGGATAAATTACTTTCATGAGGATGAAACGCAGGGTTCCGGGAAGAAATGCACGTGGTATTAGCTTCCGACGTTAGGGTTCAACCGGAGACCCGATGGTGGGTAGGTAGAGACGATTGGTTGCGATCGGAAACAAGAAGACACAGTGACACCGTGGCGATAGTTAAATATACCCCACGGGATGAGGATCATTTTAGACCACACTGTAAATATTATGTTCATAGGTATATGAGGATGGGGAGCTGAGCATAATGAAGGTCGGCTAGGATTAAATGGATATGTACGGAGGACTAAGTGTCGAAGGTAAGCCGGTCGAGAAATGGCGCTAGTGGACTTGGTTTCAGTGTTCAAAGGTGCTGGTTGGGTTAAGCATTCTAGTTACTGATGGATAATTACAGGGTCAAAAAATAGGTCAACCAACTAGCAAAAATATGTGATGCAAACGGTCTACAAGAAGGCAGTTGGAAAGATAAGGGGTGGCATTTATCAAGCTCCGAATATGAGCACGGATGCGAGGAGTGTACGCCAAAGCACGGTAGCCAGAGGTGTTGAAGGTGAGACAATCCAGCTAACAGCGTAGACAGTACATGGGCACACAAGCTGACTCTGCTACACGCATTTAGCTTCGCGTATAGCTGGGCGTAGCGATTACTGAGATATCGGTAGGATTCCAAGTGAGTAGCTGTTAGACAGTCCATTTTCTGGTCCGACTGCGGACGGGCGTGGAACGTAGCTTTCTTATGGAAACCCGGTTGCAGTTAATGGTTAAGTAGCCCAGTTCGCTTAGCGTAGCGCGGAACATTGACCACTTGGAGTCGGGACTAAACTGAGGTTCCGGCAACCAATCGTTTGCAAAAATGGGAGTGCTGAACGTATATTACCCAGCCAAAAAGTGACGACATGCTCTTCGGCGAAATACACAACGTCGTACCGGAGGACGCGGTGATCACAGAGCACTAAACGGGCATCATACACGAGGTGCTCAACCACCAGTTCTTCCTTGGTGAGGAGGATGTTCTGCAGAGGTGGTTGATGGTTGGTTAGGAACCTGGTTGCCCCAAGGTAGGGTTGTACAGCAGGGCCGAGTAAAGAAGCAAAAGGAGGCCAGTCGCTAAAGAACCAGTCGTCGGCACGGCGTCAATTAGACCGGGTAGATTGAAATCTTTCGTGATAAGAAGATGTGTGTATCAGAGGGACAGAATGAAATGGCTATCTCCTAGCGTTTTGCGTCATTCTCGGAGATGTTGATGAGGGGCGCTAAATGATACAAAGACTGCAGGACGGTTTGGCGCCACACTGTGTCAGGAGCGTGCAAAGCAAGCTGCCACCATGCTGCAACTGAGGCAGGCGCCGTAGTACAATG